GCTGTTACTTACAGGCTAATATTTTAGGTTATTATCCTAGAAAGGATCATTGTGATCATCCAACCAAGCAGTTCATATCTGAGCTAAATCCGTGGAACTGCTCAGAGGTTCTTGGGGTGTTTTTTGTTTTGTTTTGTTTAAATGTTACATGCAAGCAAAATTAAACACAGCAAATTGAGACTTATGCAGTCTTCTCCAACTGAAGCCAAGTTAGCCCAGTGCAGAAAACTTTTGAAACTCAATTTGAAGAGTTGTCATGATCCACTTGAGAAAAGCAGTGGTCTTTAAAAGTGATGCACTATTTCAGCTGCCTGAGTACTTTCAGCAATGAAGAGCAATGAAGGGTTATTGCAACTTCATCTGTTGGGAGATGTTAGTCACTTACTGTAAAAACGGCTGAAGCAACACCTAAATGACTCTAGATCTAAGCCTCAGTAAGTTAAGAGTGGATTTGACCTTAACTCTGCATTGCCTTGTTTTTGTGACTTTAAAATGCCCTCAACACGATTTGAAGCTGAATATGGTGATGGGGTGGATGTGGTTTGGTGTGTAATACATTGGGAAGGAGACAGTGAAGTCCATGTATTCCATCACTGTGAGTATAAAAGATGCAGTCATGCTCCAGCCTCTTCCTTAGAAACTGATCCAAGTAAATGCTTCATGGGGTTGAAGTAGGAGCTCCTGAAAAATAAAGGGAATGTGTATGTGTATATATATATTTTTTTTAATTAGACTGTAGTCATTCAGTCCATTTGTCATCTCTGTTGCACATAATTGTAGCAGAGTTTCAGACATCAGCAACAAATTTTAATTTAAACTTTTTGCCAACTTTATATTTTCTTATGCAATTTACTTTTTAAAATTAAGAGCACATGTTTTCCTTCCAAATAACATGCAGTACATTTATTGGCATTTTAAATAGGCCAAAGTGAGTGAGCAACCTTCTTTTTTTCTTTCAAGTCTATTTTTTCCCTACAGGCAAATTGCTGTGGGCTTATGACCCACCCTTTTTATGACACTATTTCAGCACAGATATTCTTAGTTAGAATTCTAAGTTCCTCCTTTGAAACAGAAATAGAAATCACCATCTCAGCTAGCAGTTTCTTCAGCTATGGGATTGTCATACATGCATACACAGACATACAAGTATGCCATATAAATTAATGTGAAATCTCTACCCTGTCACATAGTTTACGTATTTGTGTTTTTGTTCCATTTGGGAAACTCTGTAAGCTAGTGTTTTCCTTGGTTTTGTTTTTCTGTATGTGGATTAATAGTCATTTTACAAAATACTTTCTTCTTTGGGGCATGCTGCTATGGCATGGCCATCCTGTGGAATCACAATGAACTTCTGCATGCTTTGCAAAAAAGATACGGATCTTTCTTTTACTCCTACCTATACAACCGAAATAGAGACTGTAACATTTTGATTCCATAAAAGGCAGCAAATAGCAATAAACTTTGGATCTGTTATATACTCTGAAGTCTTTATTTCTTATGTTTAAGCCTTATGCTTAGCACAGGAATAATTTGCTCTGGTGGAGTGTTTAAAATGTGTATTTCTCACAGCAGCTCTTGTATTTGTGTTACTGTTTGGACCATGCAAAGAGTTTGGTAGGCATGGTTCACAAACAGATTTGAGCAGCCAGGGAAAGAATTTAAGAACCAATACTGAGAAAGAGGATTCAATTTTACAAAGAAACCAAGCAAGCATCATAGCTTCAGATCTCAAGCATGAGAAGTGAGATTTTGTAATTGCATCTTTTGTTTTTCCACAGAATCATTAAGAAAAGACAGTTACTCTTAAATTATATATTTAATGGATTTTTCAGAACTGAGAATTATGTCACCTTGGTGGTTTTTTTTTTTTTTTTCCTAGTAGTACTAATTTGCCTACATTTAAGTCTAATAATAGTTTATTAAACCTGGCATGTGGAATAGCAGAATCTTAGTGATGAAGACTTTGGGATTCATTTCCTTTAGCAGTTTGAAGATATCCATGTCACACAAGGTTGTCTTATGCAGCAAGTTGTTCGGTTGTAAGCTGCTTCTGCCAGTGACTTTGTTTATGGGAAAAAATAATCTGGCTGTGAGAACTAGACTTATTTTAAAGTAATTGACAAGAACTGTGTCTGTGATCCCCAATATAAGCTTTTTCCAGTCACTTTGGGGAGATTAGATGTCTCTTAACATCATCTTACTAGCAGTGAAGTTGCTCCAAAAGGACTCCTTTAATCATATTAGTTTCACTGCCATCACCCTGTCTTCAGATTCTTTCTTCTTTCCTAATAGAACCAAATCTGCTTTTGCCATCTATTAGGTCCAACATTAATGCTCCTTTGCATATTAATTACTGTTACTTTACCTATAACATTCAGGCCACTATCTTTTGGCTCCCCAGTTTTGAATCTGAAGGCTTGGAGCTGTTACTTTTTCCATGTGGCTGTAGAAAACAGTATATTGTGCTGTTTGATTTTTCTAATGGCTTTGTATAAGAATTATTGAATATAGAATGAAGTAAAGCAGAAGGGCGTAACAGTTGAGTCAGGAATTCATGCAGTCTCTATTTTGGCTTGTAATATGATTTATGAATGAATTTTCCCTCTATTATAAGAAGTTAGCCATGGCTTCTTATCCTAAATATTTTATCAAACTTTTTAGGAAACTTCTGAGCAATGTAATATCTTAGTTTCACTTATACGGGGGAGGACCGAAAGTTTAAGAAAGTTTTTTGTTTTAAAAAAGGAGGGGTGGGGGAATGGAAAGCGGTAGTGGAGGGGGAATGTGCTCTCAAAAAGAGCTCTCACAGATTAAAAGATAATTGTTATTATTCCAAGCAGGACTTGCACTGGAACAGCTATTAAAAAACCCAAATGCTACATAAGTCAGTTTAGAAATCAGACCGTGTCATCCTATAGAAATTGTAGCTGTTATCTTAATTGGCCTAGCATTTCTTTGGTTAAGTAAAAGCCAGTTAGGCTATAATTTTTTTATGATCTTGAGGTCAACTTATTTTCTGAAAGAATTATAAAAATATATTGTAGATTATAATTATATACTAAAATGTACTTTACATTTTTAGTCTGTATACAGATTTAATAAAAAACTAAACGTGTAGAGGAAAAGATCAGGAACGGAAGGAAAGGATCTAGTGCAGATTACACTATATGAAACACATGTTTGAGATAATTCTGATATAGCTGAAGTATGTGGCCTGTGCTGTACTTCTGTATAAAAATGATGTGCTCATTCCATCTCTACACATACACACACAAAATTTTACCTTTAACATAGTAGGAAATAATGCCAAGGAGTAATTAAGAAAGCATGGAAGTAAAAGTCAGTCCTGTGATAAGTTTCCGAAATGGTTAATATTATTTAATACGTATTACAGCTGTGATAGTTGAAGGACACAGCTGAAGGTTTGAGGGGAGACAACATGTCTTTTATTACACCATATAGTTCAAATAGTTTGAAAAAAATAGGCAAACTTTCAAGCCTTGATTTTTCTCTCTCAGATCACAGTGTTTATAACAATCTGTCTTGGGATATTAATGTACAAGGCAATATATCTGATAGTCATTCATTTCCCAACTTTGGTCAGAAATGAATGTTTCTTTTTCAACAATTTGTAGTAATGTGGTTCTCAGAGACTGCAAATAGATGGTTTAGCTGAATACAGCCAGTATATTAAAAATATCTAAAGAAGAAAAATAGTAGTTGGAGAGAGAGATCAGTTCAGAGCTCTAGAATGAGTAACTGTGTTCCAGGGCAATGGGATCATTAAATATACAGTAATTTTCATCAGATTTTCTTGTGAAACCTTTAATAAGCCTGAGCTGAGTCACCTACATCTGTTTGGTAGAACATCAGTTTTTCATCTCAATATTATCACATCCTCTATGAAAGAATTCCACAGAACCACAAAGTTTCTTGTGAAGCAGGGAGGAAAAAGGGGGAACTACTGTGTGAGGTTTTTTTAGTGCAAATGCTAATTTTCAGAATTATATTTATGAATGAAAACATATATGTGCTTGCAACGTCACGCATTACAGTTAGCTGTAAGCACAGCGGGTTATGTCCCAGGTACGATGCTCCTCTATTTCATCTAAGAAGCTACAGAAGAAATGCAGCTAGAAAAGTAACTAATAAGACTTACATGCAAATGTAAATCTAAAGTAGTAAATGTATACTCTTACTACTCCTGTATTCTGTACACTTGAGGAGTAACACAGCTTTACCACATATAACGTTCATTCCTTACCCTTTCAAGTTCCCCCCCGGAAGGCAGGCGGTGAGCCGACCCCCTGCTGTTCTGCTGCCGCTCCAGAGTCCCTCACTTCTGATGCCACTGCTGCCTCGCACAACATATTTTGCTCCTGAGGACTGAAGGAGAATCTGTGATCACATAAAAGAGAGTTGTGGATTCTGAAGTCTGTGTCTTGCATTTTGAAGGTCGTGTGTCTTATCTATACTGTGTTTGCAGAGTCTTAAGGGTTCGCGGCATCAGCCCGTGTCATCCTCTCTCGGCGTGCTCTGGTTCCCTCACCCAAAGGAGGACGTTCTTTGATATATTCCTGGTGCACGTTAGGATGTTATGATGAAACACAGTCTATAATCTGTAGCAGTGATTGATAAATGATTGGCGATACACTGATAGATCATTAGAAGGCAGCAGGTCATTTCTTAAGGAAAAAAAAGAGAAGGCATGGACGTTGCACATAGTGATTACTTGCCACAAACTGTATTTCTTCACCTGTGGGGGCATCCCCTCCAAAAAGGTAAATCTTGGTCCATCCGTGCTGTGGGCAGGGGGGAGCTGTATTCATCTGCACATAGGAAGAGAAGGGGACGAGCAATAAGAGAGGCCAAGAAGAGGAACAGAGAATCCTTTGAGCCAGCTAACAGCCTGTCTGAGAAAATCAAGTGGGTTTTGATTTGTGGTTTTTGTTGTGTGGTGGTTTTTGGTTTTGTTTTACTTTGTTTGTTCTTTATTTCAGGTTATCTGTGATATGGAGAACCAAATCCACGTGCTGAGGGAAGAGCTTATTCAGGTAAACGCTCAGCGGAAGCAGCAGCTGCTGGAGCTGAGCCATCAGTGGGAAGAGGAGAAGCAGAGGGCAGCTCGAGACCATGAGACAGCAGTGAATAAGCTGAAAGTGGAAGCCGAAAAAATGACATTAGACCTCAAAAAGATACATGTGGCAGAAACAGAGAAGGCCTTGGACAAGGTAAGAGGTTTGCATAGGGCTGCTTCTTGTGGCATGGCAAAAGGGGAGAAATCGCCCCAAAAATCAGAGAGACAAAGTTTCACTGAGGTAAAACGTTTAGAGGTCACTTGAGTTGAAAAACCAGACGTATGCTGTAGATCTGACATCGGATGCCACAATCACGGCACGAGTATGGAAAGTTTTGTGGTTCTATAATGAAAGACTTCTCTTTGAACACGCAGCGGCAGTGGTCGCTGCTGTAGCTGTTTTCCCTGAGAGCGGTGCTGGGGCAGCCGCTTCCAGCCCTGGGCAGTGCGGAGCGGGGATAACTGTGCGGTGCTCAGGAGCTGTCAGGGCTTTAAAAATCCAGATTTCAAAGGCAAAGCCAGCCAAGGACTAGGCTAATCACTTCTTTGCTGGAATAGGTAGAGTAGAAAGGGCAGTTCTGTCTAACCAAGCTTTTTCTCCCTTAAAAAGAGGGAAAGTTCTCAAGGAGAAAAAAGTTCAGGCTAAAACTGCAAGGAAATTGGGTCTAGTTGCTAACAACGGCTGGTCTACTTTTGCCTGTGTGCATCGGGTGAGCAAGGACTCTGTGAAAGGCTTGAAAATAGAAATTAATGTTTCAGATACATCAAGGCTTCCCTCCCCATTCTGTTCAGTGGGGTCACTGACTGCACATCAGTGCTTGCTGAGCATCCCCTTGTACCGGTGTCTGGAATTCAAGTATTTCACCACATTAGGGATGATATGAGCTAAAACACGCGAGTTGTATTTCAAAAGCTAAACTAAAATACCCTACTTAATATTTATAGTTGATGCTGTGTGTATGTAAGCAGATAGTTGTTGAAGTATCTTTTACATGCATTAATGTAATAAATCATACTTTTTATTGCAAAGTGATGTACAGTGGCACAAATTAACAATCTGCATATACTGTTTGAACAGCCTTTGTGAAAGTGACATTTCATTTACCTGCGTCAGGTTCTTGGTCTGTAATTTTAAACAGCATTCGGAGGATTATGTTGGAAATCAGCCAGCCTGAAGCCATTAAAATGGCTGTGATCAACAATTCAGAATCTTTTCTGAATGTAAGGAAAGCTCCGCTTGGCATAATTATTTAAAGCCAAGGTCACAGAAAGTATTTAAACCTTTGAAATTCATCATTAAAGGATTAATTTTAACTCAGGAAGACATTGTCATTTTTGCTTAAAAATGGAATTTGAATCTCAATTCTTTTCTTTCTTTGATCTTTTTTTACATGTGTAGTATAGCAAAAGAAAAGTTAACTTCTTTACATCCTCAAATTAAAGTTACAAATAATCCTTCATAGGGCAATATCTTTAATAGTCTTGAATTGTCATTTCTGTCAGAAATATTATTTTTTTAATTTGTTGGATTTTTTCTATTTTTCAAAAAAAATTGCTAATTTTAAGCTATATTAGCTGCTATTGAAATTTTTGTTATTTAACCTACTTCCCTATTTTTTACCTCTAATCAGAAGAGCACATGTTGAGTAAAAGATAGGAGGGGGAAATAGAAAGTATCTCTGTTGGGAAGTCTTTCACAGAGATGTGAAAATACCTTGCATTACCTTCAAATCTCCATTTACCATTCTGCTTCGTTTCTGTCTTCTAAATGTAGAGCTGTGGAAATGGGCCACAAAGTCCAAAAGTCAAAGTAGCTTAGAGGGCAAACTCCATTTAAAACTGGAAAGTTACAGTTTCAGCTAACTTAGTTCAAATCTTGATCCTATTAAGGTCCACAGAACTTTGGTGAAGGAGATTTTATCCAAGGGGAGGGGGAAAAAAGGCATCTTAATTGCAGCATGAGTCTTGAAACTTGTTTTTAAAGTCTTTTTATTTTCCTAGCAATTCTTGTTACCTTGAAATTTAGGACCATATGGGAGAAAAAAATGTCCTCTAAATTTACTTTTTTCTGCCAATTCTGTAAAGATTGCTTAAAAATCTGAGGGGAAGCTGAATTTCACTGTTTAGGCTTGGAACATCTGACTATTGAGGAACATCTGAAGGTCAGTCCATTCCCAAGTGAAGGATCTCATTCCTCTGTAGTCTGTTTTGTGAGTAATACTGATTTCTGTGTGGATTGCTTTGTGTAATTGTGGACTGTTGTTCACATGAACATGATGAAATACAAAAGAAATGGCTATCAAGTGAAAAACTGAAGTAAAAATGGGCAGCAGGAGATATAGGTTTCCCATGGTATTGCTCTCCCCATAACCCTGCTGCAGTGGGGATGGGAAGGAGGAGAGTGGGGGGCAGAGAGAGGAACAGTTTTCATTGCAAGTGCACTGGACATTTAAATATTTGATGGTATTTGGAGACAGCTTTTTAATATTTAGGGACACACAATTTACTGAGTCTTTAATTTTCTGTTGCTTAAAAATCTCAACTTTAAAGATAGCGCATTGTTTATTGTAATATTTTGATTCGTTTTTGTTAATGATTACAGCATACAATGCCGGCAAGTTGCTCCATAAACGTAGTACGGTAATGTTTTTGAACCTGTGATTCTAAAAGGAAGTATCTTTTGACAGTTTTTGCATCTCCCAGTCACTAGGGAATGATGAGCGGGAAAATATTTAATAGGTTGCCCAAAGACACTGTGTAACCTGCACTATAGGAAAAATAAACATGGCATCTGTCGTTTTGGAAATAATAATAAAGGTGTATTGGGTTTGCATGGCAAGGTTTAGGTAGCAGGGGGGTTACAGGGGTGGCTGCTGTGAGAAGCTGCTAGAAGCTTCCCCCATGTCCGACAGAGCCAATGCCAGCCGGCTCCGAGACAGACCCACCGCTGGCCAAGGCTGAGCCCATCAGCAACGGTGGTAGCACCTCTGGGAGAACAGATTTAAGAAGGGAGAAAAAAACCTGCACAACTGCAGCTGGAGAAAGGAGTGAGAATATGTGAGAGCAACAACCCTGCAGACCCCCAGGTCAGTGAAGAAGGAGGAGGAGGAGATGCTCCAGGCGCCGGAGCAGATTCCCCTGCAGCCCGTGGGGAAGACCATGGTGAGGCAGGCTGTCCCCCTGCAGCCCAGGGAGGTCCACGGTGGAGCAGATCTCCACCTGCAGCCCATGGAGGACCCCACGCCGGAGCAGGGGGATCTCCGAAGGAGGCTGTGACCCCGTGGGAAGCCCATGTTGGAGCAGGCTCCTGGCAGGACCTGTGGACCCGTGGGGAGAGGAGCGCACACTGGAGCAGGTTTGCTGGCAGGACTGGTGACCCTGTGGGGACCCACACTGGAGCAGTCTGTGCCTGAAGGACTGCAGCCCGTGGAAGGGACCCACGCTGGAGCAGTTCTTGAAGAACTGCAGCCCATGGGAAGGACCCACATTGGAGAAGTTCACAGAGGACTGTGTCCCATGGGAGGGACCCCGCGCTGGAGCAGGGAAGAGTGAGGAGTCGTCCCCCTGAGGAGGAAAGAGCGGCAGAGACAACGTGTGACGAACTGACCCAAACCCCCATTCCCCATCCCCCTGTGCTGCTGGGGGGAGGAGGTGGAGAGAACTGGGAGTAAAGTCAAGCCCGGGAAGAAGGGAGGGATGGGGAGAAGGTGTGTTAGGATTTGGTTTATATTTCTCATTACCCTACTCTGATTTGATTGGTAAAAAAAGAAACTAATTTCCCCATGTTGAGTCTATTTTCCCTGTGACAGTAATTGCTGAGTGATCTCTCCCTGTCCTTATCTTGACCCACGAGCCTTTCATTATATTTTCTCTCCCCTGTCCAGCAGAGAAGGGGAGCGATAGAGCAGCTTTGGTGGGCACCTGGCATCCAGCCAGGGTCAGCCCACCACAAAAGGGAAAAGTCCGTAATTTTCTAGTGACCTTCCCTGTTGCAGGTCTTATTTTCAGTTAACCACCACTTTCTTACAAAGCAAGCTATAGCTGACCTAAATATGCACATAACGAGTAGTGTTGAACCCGCTGTGGCCAAACTGGGCACCTCTAAGACTTCTCCGTGCCGAGTGCTGCCCCCTGAGCTGTGGGAGCGCTGGAGAAGGTGACGAGGGCTCTACCTGAACCGCAGTTGGAAGATTTCTGTGAGCCAGGTCCTTCTCACCAGCCTGGTCCACAGAAACAGAGTTGAGGTGATCCAGGAGCAGCTCGGCGTGTGCTGGGCTAACACGACGCAGAGGTAGCTGTTCTTGCTGGGGCAGCGCAGCGGTTCATCCTCAGCCTTGCTTTTTGCTAGATGAGGTGCCACAGCCCGATCACACTTAATCACCTTATTGCTCACCTTTTAAGACATAACGTGGTATTTCTATTAGAACACAAACCCACCTTATCAGATAAGGATAACAAATTTTAATGTCCTTAAGGCCAGATAAGCCATGCTGGACATAAATCAGACAAAAATTCAAGATGATTGCATGGAGAATTTGAAACAGTACTTACCGTGTTCTTAGGACTTCAGTACTTTCATAATATCTGTTATCTGCCTCTAACATAAAAATTACTTGAGAATATCTCCAATTTGTTTCTTGTCTATTAGTTAAGGAATCTTAAATACCATTTCAGAAGAACACTTGTATTCAATCATAATGATTTTTATTTACTTTTAAAGTATAGATTTAATTTGCTTGCATTTCATTATAGTGATTATAGCATTTTCTGATGTGATGGTAATTTTTTTTTATTTGAAGTCATACCTCATTATGATGAAATGAAACAAACTGTTTAAGAAATAAACATATTAAAGAATACATAGTACTGTAGTTAGGCTCCACTAATGACTAATTTCAGCAGAGAGACAGGTGTGTTATAGGTTGCATCAGCAGTACTTATGGCATGAACGCTAATCAGCCAGGTGTAATGGACTGTACAAAGCTTATGAGCATTTTCAGGTTTGCCAGGAATTACTAAAAGCAAGAGACAAACTGCATTTCTAAGTGCGTGCAGATGTGAAGCTTGGCTAACACAACTGTTTGTAACATTCATCTGTGGTATTTTCTTGGCAAAGAAAATGAGCATGCAGAAAGCACGACCCGAGCAGATCAG